AGGAGAGGGAGAGGGAGAGGGAGAGGGAGAGGGAGAGGGAGAGGGAGAGGGAGAGGGAGAGGGAGAGAGAGAAAGTCTTCCATCCAATGGTTCACTCCCCAGATGGCCACAATGGCCAGAGCTGCACTGATCCAAAGCTGGGAGCCAGGAGTCTCCTCTGGATCTCCCATGCGGGTGCAGGGGCCCAAGGACTTGGGCCATCTTCCACTGCTCTCCCAGGCCATAGCAGAGAGCCAGATCAGAAGAGGAGCAGCTGGGACTAGAACCGGCGCCCATATGGGATGTGGGCGCTTCAGGCCAGAGTGATAACCTGCCGGCCCCACATCATTGTTTTAAGATGGAAATAATTGTGTGTCTGTATGTTTGCTTTTAAAATTCTATATATTACATCTATATAAATTATTTTCCTTGCCTTAAGTAAATTTTGTTTTAATCTTCAATAGTTATTCCCAAAGAAACTTGATCAGGGCTGGTGTTTGGCGTAGTGGGTAAAACCACCACCTGTGACACTGATATCCTATATGGACACCAGGTTCATGTCCCATCTGTTCCACTTCCAATCCAGCTCCCTGCTAATGCACCTGGGAAAACAGCAGATGATGGCTGAAGTCCTTGGGGCCCTGCCACCCACATGGGAGACTTGGATAAAGCTCTTGGCTCCTGGCTCCTGGCTTTGGCCTGTCCCAGCCCCAGCCATTATTGCCATTTGTGAAGTGAACCAACAGATGGAAGATCTCTGTTTCTCTTTCAAATAAATAATTCTTTTTTTTTTTTAAAAAAGAGACAATCATTTTATCAGTATAGGCCTTACAAGGAGCATGTTCCTTTTCAGAAAAATTATTTTAAGTAGCCAATTTTTATCTTTTCACTCAAATTATGCCAATTTTATGAGAGTCCTTTCTTGTGGAATGCCTATAGCGTTCATAGAGTATTTTAATGCAAAAGAGAACATTGGTATTAAGCATTGCAATTAAATTTTACTCAACCCAGTAATGCTTTCTGTATGATACATGTTCATCCTGGATGTGTAGATAATTTTGAATTTCCATATGTGATAGTTGTTTCATGAAATCTTTTTACAGGTCCTTTATTTGAGGAACATAAGTAATTTTCAATTATAATAATATATTCATATGTATTTTAAAAACCTAATTAACCTTTGAAGGTAAAGACATTCTTAAAAAAAAATACCCAGTTCTGTTTGTTCAGAAAGAGTCAAAAGTCAGGAATTCATTTGCTGTCACCCTGTAGTTGTTAGGACAGCAGCACTAATCCGGCCAACTAACCTTTAAAAGAACTTGCAATGTCAGAGATGTCAGACTGTACCAGTAAATATTCACTGCAAAGTTTTTATATCAAAGACCAGAACTTTGGGAGGTGCTCCTGGGATTTGGTGTACTCTAACATCTATTAATCTCTGACACCTTGGGTGACTTGTCAAAGAAGTGCCACATTTACAAGGAGTGTGCAAGGAGGCCCAAGAGGACAAATTCAGATAAAGGTCAAGGAAGCAATTAATGTTCTCTCCTTCTCCCTAAAGAACTTCCACAGCAAACATTGCCCTCCCCGCAGTCTTAGTAAGGCAGGCGCATGTAGTGAAATGAAAAAGTTCAGGTAAAGCATGCCACCACTATGGTTCGGTTCTTAGAGCTCTTCTTGAATGCTAGTGGGTGCCATTGTTCCAGAAGTCAGTGGAGAGGATCAGAAGGGATGGCTCCTGCTGCAGAATATCAATTTTCATCTCTGTTTCCTCTGCAACTCTGCCAAAGGTCGAGGTCAATGGTAATGGCAGTGTGGGGTGATGTCTGAGCCCTTCCTGTAGGGGCATAGTTAAGCTACAGCTGTTTGTGGGACTACATAATTCTGTCTGGATTCTACGTGGGACACATGCACACACGTGCTCAGGCTCATGCACACATCCGTGCGTGGAAATGTACCCCTAATGTCTTCTGTTTCTTCGTCCTTCAATAACGTTGTGAAAATTCGTGTTTTCCCTCAGCCTTTTCTTCTTTATGATGAGCATGTTTATCTCCCCAAACTGTCCTTCTAGGGCTGAGTTTCAAGATTTCCCATCTCCCTGTTGCTGGAGTTTTCTCGTTGTCCCTCTCATGTGGTACTTCCCCAAGTGATCAGGAGGCTACAGAGAAGCCTGAAGGAGAACAGAGCGTTCCTCCCCCTCACTTTGGAGATTCCATTGTTAGCATGCCCTGGGTGTACTAGTTTTTTTATAGTTTAAACTTTTGACTCATATTGAGATTGTGGCCAATTAAATCTGTATAAGTGGTCTTTACACTTCTCTTTATGCAATTTCATTTTGTTAAGTAAAAGCCTCTTGTTATAGCTCATCAATACCATTTTACATCACATTTAGTTGTCTAACATGGTAGCTATCCTCATCAAATCTGTATCATCTGTAAATATTATCATATTCCTTTTATTTTTAAAGACTTTATTTGTTTGTTTGTTTGAAAGGGAGAGTTACAGAGAAACAGAGACAGAAAGAGAGACAGATCTTCCATCCACTGGTTCACTCTCAAAATGACCGCAATAGCAAGGGCTGGGCCAGGTTAGAGCCAGGAGTCTGGTGCTTCATCTGGGTCTCCCAAGTACTTGGACCATCTTCCACTACTTCCCCAAGTGCATCAACAGGGAGCTGGGTTGGAAGTGGAGCAGCCAGGACATGAATCAGCGCACATATGTGATTCCGGGATAGCAGCTGGCAGCTTAACCCACTAGTGCCATAACACCAGCTCCATGATCATAGTCTTAATGCCATCAGCTAGTGAAGACATTGACAAACGTGATCATCAGGGAAAAGTTGAGGACACACCATTTATTAGGAATATCCATGCCAGGGGGGCATTGAAACCAAGCGTTTTGGGAGGTACTGTGGAAAAATCAATTCCAATCCAATATGTCTTCATGGGAGACCATGAGATACCACATATAGCGCTGAATTTCAGATAAATTGCATCCATGCTTTTCTAGTTCTTCCAAGGACGGGGATGATGTCTATCTGTCCGACTACCATATTCCCATCGCCCAGCACTGTGCTTCGCATACAATACGGGTTTGTTCTATGAGTAAATGGGATAACCGAGCAAGCAACGAAGGTTATTCTGACTTTAGTTTTTAAAATAAATCTTTCCTACCTCGTCTTCTCCTGTTTAAGAAATGAAAAAGTTGTTTTCTTTTTTGTTTTGTTATAACACTGTCTCCTTATACTCATAGATGGTCTGTATTTTCCATCTTCTCTTCCAGGGAGAATAAAGCCTGGATTCATTAGTGCTGGGGGTAGGGAAGAAACACAGAACTCTAGCCAGAATTGAGACGGCAGAGACACGCCTCGAAAGATCAATGGATTTTAAGGATTGGTGTGAAAAAGAAACAGCTTCTGTATCAGTGAAAATAACATATTGGATTATATACTTATTTACACAGATATAGTAACGTACTACAAGTTAAAGCTAAGACAAAGCTTTTTTGAATTTTTAAAATTATTTTTTATTTGAGAGAGAAAATAGCTGGAGAGAGGGAAAGAGGTCGAGAGAACGTGGGCAAACACTCCATCCTCTAGTTCACTTCCGAAATGCCTGCAATGGCAGGGACTGTGCTGGTCCTGACCTGAAGCTGAGCAGAAGCTGGGAACACATGGGTGTCAGGAACCCAATTACTTGAAGCATCACTGTTGCCTCCCAGGCATTGCTCTGGTGGGAAGGTGTATCTCCTGGCTAGAGCCAGCAATTAAACAGTGATACCTTAACCACTACACCAAACACAGTTCACGACAAAATTTCTTTATGAAGCCATACTTAAGTAACCTTAGCCACAGGTGGTTTTTCCCCTTCCTTGTTTAACAACTGAATTTTCAAGTCTGTGTAACATAATCTAATATTGATTTATCTGGTGATTTTTCTATTCCATTTTATGATCAAAACACTACTAATAACAATTAAAATAATAATTTATTGAATTCCATGTAACTGTATTTAGATTATATGATGATATTCATCTTTTACTTTATGATCAAAACAATAATAATAACTACACAATCATTTATTGAGCCCATGTAACAATGTGCTAAGTGCTTTGTATATATTTTCTTTTTAAGTCCTCCAAAAGCATTTAGTTCAGGTTTTCCTATCTTTCACATTTTACATAATTAGAGAATTCTTGGAGACAATTAGCTTTTAAGGAACTACATCATAGCTTGATAATACCTTTTGAACAACCAATAAAGGGGCTCAAATTTTGGCTTATTCATTTATACCTTGCACAAGCTTAGCTAAGTTAATATAGTTTTCTGAGTTTTAGTCTTGTTACTTGTGAAGGTGAAAATAATAATGGCTACCTTACTAGCTTCTTATAAAACTTAAATGAACTACCATTACAATATATCTCACGTGATCTAGTGTCTTAAGGAGGTGTTCAGTAACTGGTAGTTAATATTACTAACTTTGTGTAATGTTGTGGATATTAAGATTCCATGATTTGCCCCAAAATTACTAATATAAAAATAAATAATTATAAAACACATAAGGGTATAAATCTTTTTTGAATCTTTTTTGTCTAGATAGAACCAGATTGCAAAGGAAACACTACTATGCATTGCTGAAATAACTAGGATTGTGCTCTGTAGCCAATATGAATAATTAAGATCTTACATTCCCATGACCAGTCTTTCTCTTATTTACTGACTGGTGGCCCTGAAAAAGTACTGCTCTAAAAATAATTTTATTTACTTCATTTAGCACTGTAGAAATGCAGAGCGGTAATTTCCGCTTCAGTATAATTCAGAAAGATGTTTCTACCCGAATGTATGACATGGTGACTTATATAATGAGTAATTTTCAAATAGTTTGCCTTACTTGTTTTATTTCATCTAAAGTCAAGAATATTCAAAAGTAACTTAGACTAAGTAGAAATATTTCATTTCCACTAGGTTCTCCTTTTTTCACGGATTTACTAACGCAACCATGGCCTTTTTCTTCTCCTCTTAGAGACCAGAGAAGACTATGACGACAAGCAGGTGGTCTCAGAGATCATGGCAAGATGTTTTATTCCAACTCGGATAACAACCTCTTCCTGGGAAGGCTTTCGTTTTGTTGGTCATGAGATTCGGATTACTGAAGCCATGGATTGTTATGGTGCTGTTGTTTGGCCATCGGTATAATTTCATACATAATTTTCTATATTCCAGCCATTCTCGTTCATGATTATGTTCTATTTGGAATGAGACAACAGGTCTACTTTGACTCAAGAGTCACTCAAATTTATCAGTAATGTATTTGGTAAACTGTTGCCATCAATGCATGCTACTGCTGACTAAGCAAGGTACTTCAAAAAGTTTGTGAATAATGAGATTAAAAGATGATTTTCTATTGGTGCAAAAATTGAAATTTATGAATGTAAAGGGTCTTGAAAAAGTTCTTGAAAAACATGTATTATGAATAAAATATGCATGGATTTAAAAATTTTTTGTACCAATATTAAATCATCTTTTAATTGCATTTTTCTATAAACTTTTTGAAGTGTTCTTGTATAAAATTTTTAGGATAGTTAAAAATGTTATTTACTCTTTTAGTTTTTTATGACTATAAGAATCTACAACAGTAGATATTTTTATTTCTTATTTTACTGGCTCTACTTGAGTTAAATGATTATTATGAAATCTGCATGAGACTCATGTGAAGAGTAGAAGGAGAGGGAGGGAGGGAGGAGGGAATACCATTATATTCTTAGAATTGTGCCTATGCACTATATTGAATCTGTTAAAAAGCTAAGTGAACATTTTTAAAATAAAATAAATAAAGAATAATATTCCAAGAGTCCTCCCAAACCTTTACCAATGGTTCCAGAAGGGGCTGACGCCATCACCATTGCCTGCCCTAGTCCTCTATCTGCTACTTGGAAGTTTTACTAGAAGTTGTTCCCTTTAAAAGTGATCAAACGAGTGAGCTCTATATTTTGAGTTGTTCCTCTTTTTCCTGCTGACCATCCCCATAGGCATTTTCTAGCCTAAATGGGTACCTCTAAGAGGCCACACTTCTGCTGATGAGTTTCTGGAGTGATCCAGAAGTACACCCACAAATACACTCACTTATCTGTACATATCACAACACTAGTGGTGTGTTTATCCAGTAGAGTTTAATTTTACTTCCTGTTATTAGTTGCTAAGCATACCTTTTTTCTTTCTTTAAACTAGGCCCTTGTTCTATGCTATTTCCTGGAAACTAATGCAAAACAGTATAATATGGTTGACAAAAATGTGATTGAAATTGGAGCTGGCACAGGGCTAGTCTCTATCGTGGCAAGTTTACTTGGTACGTAGGTATCTTTGAATGAGGGGCCAGAGGATTTACTGTTCAAATATTTTTAGTTATTTTTACCATCCAGTGTACCATGACCTTGGGTCTTCTTTGTTAACTACTTAATTGTTTAAATGGGCTTCATCGAGAAACTACAAGTTTTACCATCTCCTCACTGGTTTCTTTCAGAATTTTCTGTGTAAACTGTGTTAATTCTTTCATGTATTGCTAAGTCACAGGCCTTAGATGGAACCTTCTGAATGGGAGGTGCATTTAGGAGTCCTGGTTGCTAGGGGAGATGCAGGCAATGCCAGGCTTAGGCAGAATCTATCGCTGCTGAATCTCTTGTACTTGCGATTTCAGGGCTATTTCAATGCCCCATATAGCTGTAGATTCCTTTTAGTTTCTGAAGTCCTGTGCTTTTCTGAAAAAAGGAAGTAAATCACATTTGCTTCTATTTTCAGGTATTTGTCCTTGAGTTTATTTTCTCAGTTCATTTCCATTCTTTCGTTACCTCTAGTTCTCTCACAAGCATTTTTTCATGTAAATGTGTGATAATCTCTATGTATGTCTAAGCCTCTTTCAGTTCAATCATTTTTGTTGTTATCTATTTCATTGCCTTAATTTAGCTGCCTTCTCTGATGTGTGCTACCCAAATCTCTCTTGATTTCTTTGATCTTCAGAATTGCACACCTGCCACTCGTAAATCTCGAGAGGAATTAAAGATTTAGCAATTTGCAACTTTCTAAACACTGGAGAGATAGAAGACACTTGAAGTCTTTCCCAAAATTTTTGTTTTAAAAATATCTCTGTCCTGCAAATCGTTTTCCAAAGTCACTATCCCGTTTAGCAGGGGAATGAGTCAGAGACTGTGGGGAGCAACTCGGACTAGACTAAGTTACTGGAATTAAGACTTATTCTATGCATCTGCTCTCCCACAATATGGCGCTGGGAGAGGAGAAAACAGCTTCTACACAGCTGCCTCCAGTTCAGCCAATAAACTGTAGGACTTGCTCCTGATTGGAGGAGAGCAGCGTACTCGGCGTGTGGGCAGCCGAGTTGGGATTGGCAGAGGAGGACTATAAAGGAGGAGAGAGACGGCATGCACCAGGAACATCTAAGGGGAACATCTAAGGGGAACACCTGTGCAGCCCCCGAGAGAGCCGGCCGGTGGTGTGCCGCTCCCCTGCGGAAGTGGGGAATGTGGCAGGGGGAACCGCCCTTCTACGGAGGTGGAAGGGACAGTAGCCAACCCGGGAAGAACCAGCAGCAAACCCGGGGAGGGCCGAGCAGACGAAAGAACAGCGCAGGGTCCTGTGTCGTTCCTCCACGAAGAGGGGGAGCGACATAATGGTGCCGTGACTCGGATATGAAGCCTAGGCAGGGTCTAGTGTCGTTCCTCCATGAAGAGGGGGAGCGACAGAGACAGTGTTTGGTTTATAACTGTAAGCCTCCTGATCCAGGAGCAGAATTTGTGTTTTGAAGTGTTATGTGTTTCATTAAAACGAATTGATCTCTTCAGTATGCTTGTGTAACTTGAAACAACTATCAAAAGATGGAAGCTTTGTTTTAGTCAGTGTTTTCACGGGGGTGGTGTTTACCTCTCCAGACACAAATGTATGAGTAGAATGGTTTACATTCTGCATGGGCAGAGGTAGAGTCCTCATCTGCATTTTAAGGAGTTTTGTTGAAAATGGTAGATCAATCACATTAAAATGTGGAGGTGCATATTTCTGTGATTCAGTCAATGACATTCACCTTTTCTTCTTGTTTTAGTGTTTTCACAGAATATAAGCAATGGCAAGGGAAACTTGACAGAGAGGCTAAGAAATGGGCTCTAATTTGGTCTGAGTTGGGCTTGACTTCTCTTCAAATTCTGCTTTACCATGAGTTTGTTTTTAAGACTTATTTATTTATTTGAAAGTCAGAGTTATACAGAGAAAGGAGAGGCAGAGGGAGAGAGGTCATCCATCCGATGGTTCACTCCCCAATTGGTTGCTACGGCCGGAGCTGTGCCGATCTGAAGCCAGGAGCCAGGAGCCTCCTCCAGTTCTCCCACGTGGGTGCAGGGGCCCAAGGACTTGGACTATCTTCTACTGCTTTCCCAGGCCACAGCAGAGAGCTGGATTGGAAGAGGAGCAGCCGGGTCTCAAACCGGTGCCCATATGGGATGCTGCTGTTTCAGGCCAGGGCGTTAACCCACTGTGCCACAGCGCTGGCCCCCATTCTTTTTTTTTAAGATTTATTTATTTGTTTGAAAGGCGAGAGAGAGAGAGAGTCAGAGACAGAGACAGAGACAGAGACAGAACGATATCTTCCATTATCTGTTGGTTCGCTCCCCAAATGGCCACAATAGCCTGGGCTGGGCCTGGCTGATGCTAGGAGCCTAAAACTCCATTCTGTCTCCCACCGCGGTACAGGAGCCCAAGGACCTGGAGCATCTTCTGCTGCTTTCCCAGGTGCATTTCCCAGGCACATCAGCAGGGAGCTTGTTCAGAAGCAGAGCAGCAGGGACTCAAGCCCATGTAGGATGCCAGGACTCAAATGCCGATATAGTATAGGATGCTGGCATTGCACGAGTGGCTTAACCCACTGTGTCACATTGCTGGCCTCTGCTTTACCATTCTTTATCTCAATCTGTGTTTGTGTAATGCTATGGAATTGGCCAGTTCTATGTTTATTCATAGATTATTTTATTGCTTTGGTATTGCTTGATGTTTATTATAAGGACCAAATTTTCACAAATTTGCTTCTTCCAAACTTCCTCTTGAAAATGATTTCACCATTCACCTTTGACACTGAGATTGTTCCTGTCTTCTTCAGCTAACCATCCTGTCCTGCATCTGTAATCTGTGGCCTTTTGAGCACTATACATATGATATGAATAGATTTTAAGCATCTTTTGGGGGATTTACACTTAGGATACAGGCAGGTTGAGAACTTGGGTCTAAATATCATGTCATGATATTTTCCATGTAGCCATTGTAGCATCTTTCCTCCCTCCGTTCCTTACGAGCACAGGTACCTGATGTTACAAGCACTCATTTGGTGTCCCAGCACTAAGTGTCAGACCTCTCCAGGAGAAGCACCTGTTCAGCTTTCCGGTTATTCTAATGAGGATGCCAAAGATTGTGAATTTCCCTTTCTGTATATTATTTTTCTCCTAGCTTGTGTTAGATGAATATAAAGCAACAATAGCAGCCAAACAAAGTACAACCAACTGAACAAAAAACCCAAGGAGAACAGAAAAATACAATGGTGTACAAAAAGTACCATGGGATTCTATCTTTTTTAAGGGGAGTCAGATGACTGCCTTAGCATCTATTTAAAAAGATTTTTCTTTCTATGAACAACAGCCAGTCTTATTTTCGGGACTAGCAACTGTCGTGTCGCTGTGCATGTTGACTTGGAACTTGATTAACGGTATTTATCCCCTGAGGGTCACTTTTTTCTATCATCCTTTGTTTCACAGGTGCTCATGTTACTGCCACAGATTTACCTGAATTACTTGGAAACCTGCAATATAATATTTCCCGAAACACCAAAACGAAATGCAAGCATTTGCCTCAGGTTAAAGAGCTCTCCTGGGGAGTTGCATTAGATAAAAACTTCCCCAAGTCTTCCAATAATTTTGACTACATCCTGGCAGCGGATGTTGTCTATGCTCATCCCTTCCTGGAAGAACTCCTCGTTACCTTCGACCACCTGTGTAAAGAAACCACCACCATCCTCTGGGTCATGAGATTCAGGTTGGAGAAAGAGAATAAGTTTGTAGATAGATTTAAGGAGTTGTTTGACCTGGAGGAAATTTCCAGTTTCCCTAGTCTGAATATTAAGTTGTATAAAGCTGTGAGGAAAAGTCGGAGGAGTGCGTGATGTCTTCGATCGAGGATGTGCAAATGCAAAGCAAATTCTGGTAGATTATTATTTTTTGGATTAGCTTTCCCAAAGGGGAACACATACACGCACACACACACATATCCCACTATGAGACTAGAAGATATTTCTCCAAATCCTAAATTTCCTGAACACCATACCTGAGTTTATAGTATTGGGGGAAATTTGCTCCAAGTCAGACTCCATCAGCACTCAGGCCACCTTCTAATTTTGACAATGGGAATTTTTGGCAAAGTTATACTATGTGGTCATTGAATATGAAAATATCTACTCTCCTTATTCTTCTATAGGACCATAATATTATCATTTTTAATAAATGATGCAATTATTTTTAATGTGTAATTGTAAAATGATGGTTCTTAATAATGACATCTCTAAAAGGAACATTGTCATTAATTCTTTAAAACATTGGCATATCTGATTCTCTCTTTAAAAATATAGTAATTGGCTATAGTGAAATCTGCAAATAAATCTGAAAAGGCAGATACATTCTGTAATGGTAAATGTTAGACTTTTGTGGTTCCCTTTACTGCAGCTTTTTGGTGGTCTGTCATTTCTATGTGGCAGGGTGTGCCTTCAGTTTAACCTCTGAAATCAGCCAAGCGTATGGATTTGAGGTTATGGCAAGGGCATTTCAATCAACTAAATGAAAAATGAATGGGAGCAAACAAAAATTAGTTGAGATTTTGAAGGAATTACTGTTACATTTTTTCACCAGGTCCAGTTATTTTATATCACAGAATCAAAAATAAATATAAAAACTTTGAGTTGAAAATTCACATAAAAAGGTTTTGGCGTCTAATCTCAAATAACCAGACATTTGGCTGGTGTTACAGTTAAATGCTGTTCTGATGAACATATATAGACCTGGATATTTGAAATCCTATGTGATTGTTTTTCATGTGGGCCTTAGAGTTTAGAATAAAGTCTGAAGAATTTAAAGTCAGGGTAGAAAAGAGAAAAGAAATAGGGTTTTGTGTGTAACTGCGTAGACTGCATTGGTTGGCGACGACCCCAGCAATGACTGCTAGGCTGCGACAGTGCCCTGTCACATGCTCTCCCAGGATCAGTTCTCTGAGCCTTGTTGACAATCGTCAGTCCACTTGGGGTTGAGCACAGCTGGAGAGATTAAACCAGAATGGAAACACACGCAAGTGCATTGTTTGGTGTGTGTGGTTTATAGGATCGTGTTTCAGTAGCTCCTGATATTTACAGGGATCACAGTTTGTTACTTACAGAAAAGCCACTTAATATTCATAATCATTCTAAAAAGAATAAATAATGCTATTATCCCTACTTCACAGATAAAGAAATTGAGGCTGAGAGCCCCAGGCCACACATTCGCAGAGTGGCAGTGCTGGGACACGCAAGCCCAAGTCTGCTTGCACCCTAAGGCTGTGTTTTTAACCTCTGTACTGTCTTTAGATATTTAAAACAGTCATGTTCATACAAGTGATGTCTTCAAAATGAAATATGTATACCCAGAAAAACAAAAAGTTACATTAAAAAGTGAGAGCTGTTTCTCCTTAAAACTTTATTTTCCACTTGGGCAGGTCAGGTAGACTTGTTTGGAAGTGATATTTGAAGGGAATTGAGGGAAGCAGGAGTGCAGACATCTGGGGACACGTGTTTCTGGCAGAAGGCGCAGCCATGCAGACACCTTCAGGGCAGAGCCCGCCAATCCTAAGGGCCGTGTGCCAGCAACAGTCTGAAGAGAGATTGGCGAGACTCAATCAGAGATTCTCCGAGGCAGCTGGGCCATGCAGAGCCTTCGTGCAGGCTGGGTCCTCCCGACGGACTCTGACGTGGAGTCTGGGTTGTACGTCATTTGTCGGGGAATGCTGCTGGAAGGAAGACTGTAGAAAGGGGTGGAGGCTGAACAGCAATGCAGACCCAGTCACAGCCTTTGCCCAGCCCTGCATGGAAGACCTCCCAGAGTAGTCCAGTGGGGGTGAGACATTTGGGCCGGTGACCCCATGTAGCTATCATCGCATATGGCTGCCCTGGGAAGACCTTGTGACCTTGTGTGAGGCCACTGGTCAGCAGAAGGAGTCCCTGAAGTTGCAGAGAGCTGTGGGTAGTCTGCCAAAAGCACCTCCAATGGTGGGGTATTAAGTTATCCTGAAGAGGATCTGGACAGGCCTCCCAGTGTCCACCATGACTTTTGGCTTTTTGTCCGGTGAAATGGAGGATCATTGGATGATTTCAAGTAGAGAAGTGAAATAACATTGCTTCATGTAAGGACCACTACGGCTGACCTTTGAGAATAGAGTGAGTGCGGGGGCCACGAGACCTGTAGGCAGGCAGAGGCAGCTGGGGGCAGGGAATGAGCACAGGGCTGAGAATCTAGGCAGTGGTCGGCTGCAGATGTATTTGAATGCCAGAGCCAGCCGGCCTTCCCACCCAAGAGAGTCTCGGAGACAGGGGAAGAAAGTCAGGGCTGACTGCAAAGCTCTGGTGCTGCTGGGCATATGTGTGGAGTTGTCAGCTTAGGCGGCTTTGTGAAGCTCCTTCAGGGCACAGGAGTTTACAGACAGAGAATGAAACCAGCTCTGAGCCCGGAGGCAGCCACACGAGGCTCACACACACATGTGTTTTGAAATATTTTTTTTCCCGAGGTTCTGGCTCTGTTCTCAACTATTGGCTCTGAAAAATAGGAATTTAACGCCATAGTGGTTTTTTAAACTGGTCAGTAGAGTTCCAAGTTTCCCTCAGAGGCTTTTGTCTGTGGAGTGTTGTGGGGGCACCTGCAGGAAACTTAGGGTAACAAGTGAAAAAGATGGCTCCTCTGCCAAGAAAAGTTTGGGTACCACTAGGAAGTTAGCTTCAGCAGAACAGATAAAGTGTCATTTCAAAGACAAAGTGAGGACCAGCCATGGGGTTCTTTACAGCTCCTCTTTGTCTACGTGTCAATCTGTCAAACACAACATCCCACATCCATTGTTTTATTCTGTTTATAGCATCACTTGCAAATTTTAACACCCACCCACCAGGCCTCTGTTATTTCACTTCACTCTGTACTTTTCTACTCTTATCTTTTTCCTTCAGTTGCTCCCTGCTTTTCTAGATTCAATTTTCACAATACTTTAATTTCAAAAGATGTAACTTGAGTAGGCTTTTTCTATCTTGCAATTTTGTTTTATGACTAGGGATTGATTTGTTAACTGTGGGAGTACAGTGAATTTTTGCCCCTTGGTAACTGGCGTTTTGGCAAGTTAGGCTATGTTATTAAAAACCTCAGTCCAATTCTTGCAATAACTTTCTGGATATCCTGAAGAATGAACATACTGATTGTCAAGGTTTTAATCAAGGTTATCACAGAACAGCTATTGCTCCACAACAAACCAGCCTGCGAGTGATGAGATGCAGCTTAAATCATACACAGTGGCTGAGAGTTTTGTGCCCGATTGCATCAGTGGACTTTAGAAAATGAAGTACTGCACTAGCACCTTCTGTCTTAGAATTTGATGATAGTCCTTCTGTCATTTATACTCATGTTTCTCTCCCAGAACGTTAGAGAAAATGCTTTTTTTCATTCCATATTTGTGTCTGCTCTGTTTCTGGATAAAGAACTGGTGGCGTTGGGTGGCTTCCTAACAGATTTGCAGCCAATGTTGTACACTCCTTATTATGGAAAAAAAAAATGAAGAAACATAATGGAGCAGAATATTCTTTATTTAAGGTCTCAGATTTCAGGACCTTGATGTTCTCTGTGAATGCCTCATCTTCACACACAGAGACCGGTCTAATTTGTTTTAAGTAGTGCCATTTGCTTATATGCAGATAAATAATTTCTGATTATCCTTTGGAAGGAGAACATTCTCAGTGAGTTGGATTTGGATACAAGAAGAGATTTGCATGTACCAGCTCTGAAAACAAGCTGGAGACCTTGGGTTTTAGATATAAAGACATTAAAATCAGCCTTAAATAAATCGGATAAGCTAATTGATAAAAATAAATAAAATTAATATACTGTGCTTCTTTCTACTTCACCTTAATTTAGTGTCCATGGGCATCTGTATATGCAGAAAATAAAAACTGTCAAGTATGTACTTTTTGAAAAGATTTATTTATTTGAAAGTGAGATTAACAGAGAAACACACATACACACACACAGAGAGAGACAGGTCTTCCATCCACTGGTTCACTCCCCAGATGGTTGTGGTGGCCTGCGATGGGCCTGGCCAAAACTGGGAGCTCCTTCTGGGTCACCATGTGGGTGGCAGGGGCCCAAACACTTGGACTATCTTCTGCTACTTTTTCTAGACCATTAGCAGGGAGCTGTATTGAAGTGGAGTAACCTGGACACGTTCCAGTGTCCATATGGAATGCTGGTGTCACAGATGGCGGCTTTACCCATTATACCACATCGACAGCGCCTAAATATGTATATTTTTAAAACTAAGTTATAAGACAATATTTAGCAACAAAATTGGGAATGGACCAGGTATATACAAAGGTGTAGGGGCAAATGGGCAAAGCAAAATTTAAAAACAGTAGGCATTCTGGTGTGTTCTAATTCTTCCTATCTTGTTTATTGTGGGGAGCAACCGAGACTAGACTAAATTACTGGAACTGCTAAGACTAATTCTATGCATCTGATCTCCCATAATATGGCGCTGAGAGAGAGCAAACAACTTCTACTCAGCTGCCTCACCAATTCAACTAACAAGCTGCAGGAGCTGATCCTGCTCCTGATTGGAGGAGAGCAGTGTGCTCGGCGTGTGGGCAGCAGAGCACGGATTGGTGGAAGAGGACTATAAAGGAAAAGAGAGACAATATGCACCAGGGACATCTGAGGAACATCTGAGAGAGCCGGCCGGTGGTGTGCTGCTCCTCCTGGAAGCGGGGAAAGTGGTGGGGGTGCCGCCCCTCCGCGGAGGTGGGGGGCCGGCAGCTAACCCGGGAAGGACCAGCAGCAAACCCAGGAAGGGCCGGGCAAAGAGAACAGCGCAGGGTCCAGTGTCGTTCCTCTGCGAGTGGGGGAGCGACAGTTTATGAAGTCTGAAAGTGACTGGCAAATACATTCCACACCCAAATTTTGTCATGTTTGAGTTTGTGATGTGAAATTAAGCCTAGCATATTACCTGCAAGCCCAGTGTCAATATTTGCTCTGCTTCCAAGTTCCACAAAAATCAAAGACAGTGTTCCATGTAATTATATGGCAGCATTAATGGGGCAGTGGTGTTGTAGGTGGTCTTGGTGCCAGTTAGTTCTGAGGTCCTGCAAACTCCTTTTATTAAGGATTCCTAGGTGGACATTAGTGTTTACTCAAATTGTGTGCAGATGCATTGCATTTAGATTGCTGGACATACGCTATTGACTGCTTATTCTGCTGAACTAATCTTTGGTCTCTGTCATGAAAAGTGCTTTTATTGGGCAAGCTCAAAGACGGGATTTTTTTCAATTCTCTCAACTTCTTTGTTTCTAAGGCAATTGCTTTTCTCTGAAATCCAGTCAAGTTTTAGAACTGGCACTCACCATCAAGGAATTTTAAGAATCACTAAAAATGAAATAAGGTGTCTGGGTCAATCCTGTGATAAATGGCATTAATAGAAAAAAAAACCAGAAAAGTATTGGATATCTATTGCAAAACACTAATGCTGTACCATACCAAAATATATTGTTTGTTTTTTCAAAACACCCACAATCAGAATAAGATTAAAACATGCCACTAAAAATGTTTTAATAGCCAGGCATTATTTCATGGTGTCACAGATGCAAGACACAGGCTTCCAAAAATCACTTATATGGCAAATGGTAGATTTTGTAGTTTATGTTTTGAAAATATTTTCTTTGTCTGAAGCCTGTAATACCTATGTTCCTCTTTGTTTTCATTTTAAATTATGAGTCAGCCCTTTACCTTCACTGGATTTCTTTTAGTGTCATGATTTAATTTGGGTTTTCTTATCTAGTGCCATGATTTCATTTGGGTTTCTTATCTCTTCCTGTGTTTCCTTTGTTGGTGGAGTATAAATTCTAATGGCAAAGGTTGTCTGTTTGTCACAAACCATCATAAATAATCCCAAAGGACAGGCCATAAAAATACAAGAAATTCTTAGATTAAAAAAATGAGTAATGTTTCTATCCACCTGGTGTTGAGGTAAAAGTACAGTCTGCCACTAGTAAATTATTAACATTTTTTTCCTACCAAGGAGTTCCTCCTTTCTTCAGCTCTCTGGAACTAATAGGTAGTCAACCTAAGGATCAGAGGAATATCAAACATGCTAAATAAATTTTATAATCAGGTAGTAGATGGAAGAATTGCAAAATAATTGCGTCATAAATGCATTCTTTGGGTTAGAAGTATGAAGTGCTGGGCTCTTGGGAGCAGGTTTCATACTGTGTTGAAGAAATAATTCAAGGAGGCTTAGAGGCAATTATAAGAATGCCATAAAACCATGTTTTATTTTCTATGGATTTGGATTTTTTAGGAAGTCATCTAATGGTTGCATCCATTCATTCAGTAATTATTGAAAACCCACAGTGTGCCAACCAAAGGCTGTGTTTGCTACGGTGAACAAGGTAGTCAGGGCCAGCCATCATGGAGACCTTCAGTTCTGTGCGAATGGGCAGAGGAGAGACATGAATGACATGGTAGGGGAAATACAAAGGAACCTCAAAATGGTCAGGGAAAAATAGAATCTTTTAATTATTTCAGGGATTGGCACTGTGGCATGGCAGATTAAGCTGCCGCCTGCAATTCTAGCATCCTACGTAAGTGCTGATTCTACTCCTGGCTGCTCCACTTCCGATCCAGCTGCCTGCTAATGCATCTGGGAAAGTAGTAGAGGATGGCCCAAATATCTTGGTCCCTGCCACCCATGCAGGAGACCAGGACGGAGTTCCAGGCTCCTGGCTTCTGCCTAGCCCAGCCCTGGCTGTTGCAACCATATGGAGAGTGACTGAGTAGATAGAAGAGCTAGTGGTCTCCCCCAACCCCTACCACTGTGTGTGTGAATGTTAAGCAGATAAATAAATCCTTTAAAAACGATTATTTTGGTGCAAACACAATTGGAATACAGTCAAAGAGGGGTATCGAAAAGTTCGTGGAAAATGCCTATTATGAAAAAAATTAGGTGTAGATTTCAAATTCTTTGCACCAAAATAACATTGTCTTTTAATTCCATTTCCACAAACATTTCAACGTGTGTGCAAACAAAGCAGTTACCGATGTCCTGAGGGGAGCCTGGTCCTCAGCTCTGGGACAGTGAGGCTTCGTGGAGAAGTGACTGTGGCTGGCAAAGGTGGGAAGGAGGAGGGCAGGGAGGAGAGAGGGGCTGGGAAAGCAGCGTGATCTGTGGGAACTGCTCACAGGGCGGGTCCTGGCCTCTCACAGACCTTGCAGAAGTATCAGCCGCATCCATGGAACACTCACTGCTTGGGCTCTGTTTTAGAGATTTCCTGAGTCTCCTGGTACTTCAAGAGGCAAGAGCCCACAATTCACACATGAAGAGATGCAGCTCAGTGGGATTAAGAACATCCCTAAGTTACACACACAAGTCAGGAGGGAAACCTCAATCTTTATGGCAACCAAATCTTGCACTCTTTTTGGGGGTATTAATGTGTGTATTTTTCTACTCTGATCCTTCTAAGAAAATCCTGAATTTGCATTATATTCTAGATAATTTGGAGCTATCCAAGTCAGTGAAAATTGTCTTTGTTTGCCTCCTGAGCACAAAAGTTAGCTTACGTGGGATGCTCTTGAGATGTGCCCGGGAAGATAACTCCTTTTCATGCACTCCTTGATGAGTGTGGCTTTGTGACTTAAATAAATTGTTCTTTGTGAGGAATATTGGACACGCTAGAATAAAGATACATGGCGATCTTAAAACAGCCAGCGTCGGAAACACAGAAGACCCTCTTGTAATAAAAGAGGTGTCCAGGTGGAGGCCGAAGCTGTTCCTTGTTTGAAGGATGGCTCAGGAAGAACAAAGTGAATGAAGTGCAGATGTCCTCAGGCGACCTGTCAGCAGAGAAGGCCAAGGGGTGGAGCTGAACTTTAGAATATCATCCGATATGTTTGTGCCGGGGCCCTGTGAATGATGCTGATGTTTGTAGGCCTGTTACTGGGTGGTAATGCTCAGTGCATCAGCAGAGAGTTAATCCTTGGGGTGAAATGAGGGCACCAGTTCCTGGAAACCAACTTTCAGCAGTCTTTCAAGTCAAGAGCGTTTATTGGCCCAGGTAGCACAGCCTTCTAAAGCAAAGGGGTAAAGGGGCAAAGAGGCTCTGCACAGGAAGCTGCCAGGCCACAGCATCTCCCAAGGACTAAGTGCTCGTCTCAGCAGAAATGGCCGTTGGCATCCACAAGCCTGAGACTGACGCGATGACAGGCACCTGGCTTCAGGGACGTTGCTACTGCAGAGTGAGCCTCACTCTCTGGCTGAAGTGCTTGGCAGGCGACAGACAGCTGATGCAGGACCAGGCGGCTCACGTGCTCCTGTGACGTTAGAGGTCCAGAGGACAGTGCTGGCTGCCCCTGGGGAGCGATGGTGAGGCCGAGCGGCCAGGGAATGTTCCAGAATTGAGAAGACGAAAGAGAAAGTACTTTAAACATCTGGTGAGAAATAGCTGCTCTGGCTCGTCACAGCTTCAGAGGCAGAAAGGCAAGAAAGGCAACCCTAGCTGTCTGATCTTATCTCATACATCCTGGTGGACCAACAAAACCCAAAGGCTGCCCGCGGTTCTCTCTACCGTGCAAGTACTGATATGGAGTTTCAAAAATGCAAGAAGTCGAAGGGAGCATCTGAGGACAAGTGAGCTCGCATGCATATAATCCCTCTGGGATAAGACGCTCGCTTTCATTCTGCCTTATGCGTCTGTCAACTAGGTGAGCGTCTACAGGAGTGGGTGTCATTGCTGCAGAGCTCCCAGAGTTAAAATCCAAGTCTGAAATTCCATACTGTGCCACTGGGAGGCCCCAGCAAGCTGCAGAGTGACTGTTCCCAATAAACAACTGAAAATAAAAGAAATAATTTGAACAGGTGACTGGAATTAGGAAAGGTGATATCGAGATGCATCAGAAGCCGCAAGGGGTAAATACACAGCA